CAGTTAACTAATATATAATTTGATAAAATGTACTGTAAATTTATAACGGCAGTATCCCATTTGCATAGATGTAAAACGCTTCCAAACGTCTACCTCTGTGTCTAAGCACCTAACAGTGAAGATGTATATAGTTCAATTATTTTATGTTGCAGCTGATCAATGCGTGAGGGCATAAGGGGAAGTGAAAGTAAGAACCGTGGGAGTTCAAATTCTACTTGCGGTGGAATACTTAAGTGGTTAAGATGCAGTTGAACTAATCCACGGTTCCTTTAATTCTTTACCTATTTCACTTGACTCGTCCGAATCCTCTGCGCATTGTGTTAACAGCGGTCTCGTCTAAGAAACTGAACTGTACACAGTTAAAAATCGTCTTTCTTTCCGGCATTGGCATTTAAAGTTAGAGATCTTCACTATTGAAAGGAAACTCGAGAGAATTGTACTGACACAATGTTTCTCCCCAAGCATTTCTTGTCCTTGACTACGAGGTCAGCTGGATGTAGCAGCGATGACCACTACAATTAACAGTCGCTGTTCGTATCGCAACGTCAGTGAACCTATCCCTTCACCGGGCTGTCCTGCTGATACCCTGTAATGAGCTCTGCTGTCTCTCGCTTCCCTTCGTCAATCACCCGTTCACATCAAGAAGAGACACAATGCTAGGGCCAACACTTCTTCTTACGGATCAGCATTAAGCGTGATCAAGTGTAAAATAACCTTACTGGGAACAGTCGAATGAGAAGATGGAAATCTTCTGAGTTGTTGCTCCTTCAGTCTGGTAAAGTTTACCGACGTTTCAGAGCTCCTTGCTGCCTCCATAATTTCTCTGACGATGAAGGCAGCAGGGACCTCTGAAACGTCGGTAAATTTCCACCAGACTACACGCCGTAACAACTCAGAAGACAGCCATCTTCAGACTCGTCGCCGTGAAAAACTCAAATCCTATTAGCTTATTTTAATTTTATCATATTATCTACTCGTCTCTATGTTATCAATTTGTTATGCATTCCGGTGCGAGATTGCAGGATCATATTCAAAATTATAAGTTATTATGTATGGATTATTATTGAATAATTAAAAATTACATATAAGTAGTTACGTAGTCGGGATTTTTATCTACCGACTTAATAATTTAAACAGACACATAGAAATTTGTCAACTCTCTGAAGCCGAAGCTCGTCTAAATATGATCCAAAAATTAATTTGTTATATTGAAGAAAAGCAAACAAGTCTCCATTACAAAGATCAAATTGTTAATGCTGCCTAAGGAAATAATAGCTATTTATTCTTAAAACCACACGGAACACCAATAAATACACTGTGTAGAAAATGTAAAACTTCTGGTTGTTAAAGCAGATGACACTTTTTTTTGTTTAAAGGCTAAACACGCTGCTCACAGAAATCTAAGCACAACTGAAGTGTGCTGTTCATATAAACAGACTATACTTAGAAATAGAATGACAACGTTAAATTAAGGACGAATCATTTCCTGCCGACAATAAAAGCAATTCTTTCCACCAGCTAGCTAGCTCGACTACTTTCAACTACTGTTACCGCCTTACCTACCACCTTTAGCAGAGACAGCCATGACATAACCTTACCTCGCGCTGGTTGTGGCACCTGCTGGAGGAATCGTTTCGTTCTGCATTATAGTATCACGTCTCCAGTCACTCAGTCACGCTCGACCTCGGCTTCAGATCGTGGGAGATTCCTTCTTGTCGCCAACGATTTCTGTCGCTAGCTACCGATATTCTTTCACTCCATGTATTTTATTCCAGTCAGTAACGATAGTAAGTATAGTCTGTGCCTCAAGTAAACTGTAGAACCTCAAATTTATACACTGCTTCTGTCTCAAAAGTCGGAACTCAGTATGTTATTACGACGCTCGTCCACAAAGTAAGTTTCCCTGGGGCCGTTTACAGAAACAAAACACAATTTCATGGAAATATTTATTGCAACAGATACAGCAAGTGTCCAGCTATTTTTCAACATATTCGCCACCGGAATTGAGACATTTGTCATACCGTGGGACCAACTTTTGAATACCTGGGTCGTAGAAGTCTGCCGCCTGGGATTGGAACCACTGTGTGACAACCATCTCCGCCTCTCTGTCATTCTCAAAACGCTGACGCTGACCGGACAGGAATTTTTTGAGGTGTAGGAAAAGATGGAAATCACTGGGAGCGAGGTCCGGGCTGTAGGGTGGATGATTAAACACCTCCCAGCTGAACTCCTGCAGGAGATTTGCTGTCCGTCGAGCCGTGTGCGGCCTAGCGTTATCACTGACCGCACTTCACAGTCGGCGGGAGCTGGAATAAGAACCTCCATCTTCAACAGCTGCAACGATGCTACTGTGAGAACGCTGGAAGTACCGTTAGTGCATGCGCCATGCTACGTCATTGCTCTATCACGTACGCACAGTCGCTTCGCGCAATATAAGATTTGCTAGCTGTGGGACGAGTGGGAAACTTACTTTGTGGACGCGCCTCGTATTTAGCATTCATCCCTCGAAATGCACAGCGTGATCGTTGCATATATCAGCTGTTTTGTTTAATTACCCAAACTAATGAATGGATTTATATTTGATTTAGTATTTGGGAATGAAACTTCGTTTTGTGTAATAAACACACACCCTGCAAAGCCAGCAGCAACATCATCACACTTACGAAGAACTCGAGAGGGTAATAAATTTCAGGAACACCCGATAACGTTCAGTTCAAAATATTACCTGATCACATAAGTGATTATTTCCTTCTCAAGCAGAAATCTGTTCTATGATTATCACACATTACCACCGGTAAGTAAAATATTTCCGATTTTTCTCACTTGTATTATAACATGTATGTACGTTTATTATGACTATATAAAATAATAAATAGCAGATCACGCGTCAAATAACTTCTCTTACGAGTTACAGGCATGCAAACGCTTTCTATGAACAATGGGCTTTTGTTTCTATAAGGGGTGGCGGGTAGACCCCCCCCCCCGGCCACAAATTGCGAAATATTTATAAACTTGAAACTTTTACAAATCCGCCTGTAAACTGAAAATAAAGCAATGGCACAGACGGGAATCATATTTAGTGTCTAACTACTGACTAGATGTCAATATGCATCCGGAAGTTTCTTCGAGCGGCTAAATCGATCAACGTTTAGCGTGGTTTTTCTTCTCATTATAGCAAATGCTGATTTTGTACCCAAATTCCGCTTTTCGCTACATGCCTCTTATGCAGCCCTCCCAAAATTTCGCCACAAAATAATTCCCAAGTTAGTATCAACATTCCACAAATCAGTGCCCTCCCATGGATAATATCAACACCGAATTTGGTAAGAACCTGCTCCTTCCCTTATTTTCTACCCTTCTCATCATTCTACATCTCCACTTTCTAACGTCTTATATTCTCTTTCATCTGCCTTTATATTTATCAAGAGGACGAGTGGGCACTGCCTGGGAACATTCATGCCCGAACATTCTCTCCCCCCCCCCCAAATACTGTCACTACATCTCTCTCTCTCTCTCTCTCTCTCTCTCTCTCATTCATTTAATATTGGCGTGTTCAACAGGCTGATTAAGATATGGGCCAGAACGGAAGTACGTTTAGTGGCACAGGACTGAAGCAGGCAGTATACTGCAAGTTTGTGGTGCGTTACAATATGAACAGGAGTGTGGTGTACTTACCCGTGACGAGTGTCTCCGTCCAAGTGAAGTGACAGCGTGTTAAATCGGACGCCAGACGTGTCTAGCTGTGGGGCAAAGAATCTGGCCCACCACGCAGCAAGCCACACTCAACAATACGTCAGGCAGGACCAGTTATCCTGAGAACGTGCGAAAAAAAACAATTCAAGTGTCAGGATTTTCAATTATGTATTTTTTTATGGTTGAAAAAGTCGCGATACCCATTTAGTACCTCTGAAATTCTTGTGAAATGAGCTGATAACTTCGTCGTGGAAGGCGGTGAGAACGGAAAAAGATCACGAAAGGAATGTAATTGGTCACCAGGTAACAGAAGATAGAGTCATTGAATTCTCAGTAACAAGGAAATATGCAAATGCCTTGTTACGTTCACTTTTATTCTGTTTTGAAAAAGTGAAGAAAAAAAATCTGAAGATACAAATCTGATCACTGTTTCTTAAGTAGAAAACAGGTCAGCGTTTTCAAAACATTGGGACAGTCCATATCTTAGGGCTATATGAATTTCATTTGTCGTGTAATAAAACATGCCTCTTCAAATGACGCACTGAGGATTTACATTCGACTGAACTCAAATAAACCCAGTTTTACTTACGTGGCCAATTCACTGTAAAAACTTCTAAATGAGATTCAATGAAAGCCCTCAGGTTCAATAAAGTTAACACCAAATCCCTCCAGTGGAGACAGTTTTTTTCTCAGAAAAGCTGGCACCTATCTATAAAGTCAACACAGTGTTACCATCTACACCCTGACAAACTGACATCATCTTCGCTGTGAGAAACTCAAATCTCACACAATTTAATTGGATTTAAATTATCTCTGTCTTACAAAGATCTATTTTAATATTATTCTCTGAGCTCCGACTCCACCATATTTGTGACCATCCACGGTGTAAGCCCAGCCCATAATAAGCTCGCTATATGAGCAACTGATAAAAGCAGGGCTGCGCGTATGGTCTATATTTACGCGAATTTTATGTATACTGATACAAGTTACGTAATGGGAAAGTTACAAGAGTAAGCCAATGAGCAGCTTCCTCCCTTGCAGTGTTTGGAAGTCGAATTTTCTAGCTTGCCGTCTGAAATTACCGTGAGGTCTACACAAAGGAGAGATGACAGATGACGAGGGTTTGTATTTCAGACTAAAGTTCTGCCATTTAGCATCTAAACCCTAAGACATTTAAACAATTTTTACCTGCCACAGTTTTAATCGCCACAATTTGCGAAGAATAAGAGGGGTCCGAAAAAAATAATTAAATTACAGAGCTTAGTTAAATTGTTCTAAAGATTAGAACAGAAAAATCCAATAAAATAGAGAGAAACACAGATCACATCCTGTTTCACCATTAGGAAAATGCGTAAAATAAAAACCTTATCAAAAACAGAGTAAATATTAGATGTTTAAAAACAGACCTAATATGATAGCACGCGTAAATGTGATTGTGAACTTCTGTAGATAAATGCATAAAAATTATATCTCGGAATACCCCACGACTCCTAGTTTACTTCAAATACGGCGTTCTGAAGCTAAGTATAGCCAGGATTTTTAAATTTATGTGGTCCAAAGAGTTGTTACCATGTGCACGAGGGCCCGCCACTGGGTCATTTCACTCACTCACGTTATATTTATTTAAGATTCATCCTAACATTATTCTCCTATCTACAATTAGGTCTTTAAAGTGATCTCTTTCCTTCAGGTTTTACGACTGCATTTATCATCTCTCCTATGTAACTGTCCTCTCTGTCCATCGCATCCTTCTTGTTTAATCACCATAATAATGTTTTTGTAAAGAGTGTAAAATATTAAATATTTCAGTATGCTATTTCTTTCTCCAGCCTATTGATACTTTCTTCCTCTTAGGGCCAAACTTTCTCAAAATTTTCATTTTTCCTTCTTACAGTGTAAGAGACCAAGTTTCGGAATCATGTAAAACAACAGGTAAAATTAAGTTGGCACAGGATGAGTGTAATGATGAACCATTCGACCAACCTGCCCTAACACAACGATTAGACATTCTTCGTCAGTTTTGCTGTGGGTTATTCAACACTAAACTTCACTTTGAACGTAACTATCCTCGTCTAAATTTGGACTGAAACGAATTGGTGTAGCGTCAATGCTGAAACCCAATATTACGACATCCAGCAATCCATACTCAGGTGTAATATAGATGAGAAAACAAGAATGAAGAGAGAAAAGAAACAGCCTCACCGCAAACCACAGCCAAGAAATAACGCCGCCAAATCTTATTAAACTAGAAGAGGTCCTCTTACCAATATTTCATGCCGACAGACATCCTGACAAATTCCTGTGGTGATGACTCCTCTCCCCCCGCGAGACCCCCGTGTGCCACCCGCCCATCCTTGTCCTCCGCTACGGTGGCCGGCCACCGGAGTACAATGTCGTTATTTATCGTGCGGGCTACAGCTTTTTTTAGCTGCCGCACAGTTTCACAACTCTGCTCATCTCTCTTACCGGCACGTTCCACTTCGTCCCCCAGCCCACGTGCATTTGCTCTTGCCTGCCGTTTCTAATTCTAATGCAAAACAACAGGAACTGAAACGTAGTCACACACGTAACAAAGGCATAATGTGGAAGTTGCCCGTCAGCCTAAAAGTTGAAAGTCAGAAACATCTGGACTGACTCGGATGGCATGTGATACTATCGGTCCACGTCAACCCTTTAAACCCAAATGGCACCTATAAATACCACTTATTTCATGTTTCGATTTCATATAATTCTCACTTTAAATGGATTATTTCCTTAAACATCATTAACAAGTATTTGTAATGGTTAAGTGTTGTTTTCTTTGCGGTACGAACTGAAATCTTATATGTTATTTGGACGATCTTTGGCTTCCAAGGGTTAAGTATTGTGTAAATAATTTCATTTAGATGCAACTGATCGAACAGAATTCCAATTACACACTAATTTCAAAAATATATTAACCTATTTTCTCAATATCTATTCAATCTAAAACAAATGTGTATGCCTACATGACGTCATATATACACGGCATTAATATATACAGCTTTAATTTCAAATATGTGTTTCTGAGAAACATTTAACAAAATCAAATTAGCTACCTACGAATTATACGCACAGCGTAAATATATTGGCGCTTTTGGTCTAACTGCTAATGCACCCTATGGACGAGCAAAACCATAAAGATAAGATTAAAACGAAATCAATTCAGCGGTCCTCGTATTATGACATGAGAGCATGAAATCTTCTGTGTACAATTAAATCGTAAACAGCAAGACTAGCAAGTACTTCTAAAACGTCGGTAGTCTTCTACCAGACTACACGGAGCTACAACCCTGAAAATATCAGTGTTCATACTCGCCGCCGTGAGAACCTCAAATCTCACCAGAAGAGGTCACATGAATACTTGGAATATTAGCCGAAGACAGTAAATAATGTAAGGGCTCGAGCCATAACTGCCAAAGCCAACGTCTGAGTCCAGCGTTTAGATTCAATCCCTACGAAGTATGTGTCAACCTATCAGAGTGACCCGGACCGCAAGTCCGCTGTCACTTTGAGGCAATTAATGTCTTTGCTGGTTGATGGCGTTCAGTTGCGATTTCCTAGACGGAAAAGTCACGCTTCGCGGAACAATCTACAGCAGAAGAAGTGACGATGTGAAACCACGAGTAAGTTGCATTGTTATAAGGAAAAAAGCGTCTTTATCCTGTTTCCGATTCTCGATTCGCCTCATTGGCATTAATAGCTTATTGGCTGTATTAACTGATGCTGAAAAGAGTGTGCAGGAGATGATGTACAGTAACTTATTGCGTCATGAAACTGCAAGAAAGTGCGCGGATGACTTGGAAATGACGGTCTGAAGACATTTCACTAGTTATGAAGACATAATTTTGACATTTATAATTCAGATAGTTTTTTATTTGTTTTGCTTAGTAGTATCTGAGGTTTTTGTGGTGGTGAGTACGAAGATATTTGTCTTCTTGGTTGTAGCACCGTGTAGTCTGAAATAAGTTACCGACGTTTCAGAGATCCCTGCTGCTCATGATTATATTGTTTATAAAATATTATTGGAGATATAAAATAGGGAACGATGAGGCGGGCCAGACGTGTAGAACGCATGCTTCTCAAGAAAGGCTTTGCTCCACGCAGTTAAGGCCTGTTTATTACCACTGCTGTTCATAAACTTGAACTGTGCTTTACCATTCAGTATAAAGGAATGTCACGCTCGAACGGTTGGTAACTCTGCTATGTTCTTAGGAAGTCTCTATATCGAATCTCGACCCACAGACTGGCTATCCTGATTATTTGTACATTTTTTTACTCATTTTGTCCCTTATTAAACCAACCCCCCCAAAATGCACGTTAACCCTAAAATGTATTATATATATATATTACACATAATGTATTTTATATTCAATCAAAAAAATATAATCTTTTCAATATTAACTAATATTTTTACATGTATTATAATATTTGCGTTTGTTTAAACTAGTAGTGAACATTATGCCGTTGTCACAAAATATATTATGTCAATAAAGAATCGAGATTTTACAGAGATAATGAATCCTATTGGTATTGAACACTGTGCAAATTACAACCTGCTACATAAAAGGAGGCATGATAATTAGTAATTAGCAGAGCAAATTGCAGTATCACCGGCGCTAATGAGAAGCTTCGAGAAGCTTCTTGGCTACTACCGCATTGTAATAACAGCCACTATCATGTGTTTACGGTAGTCACAAAAGCGGTTTTTAAAATAAACTAAATGAAGGAAATTACTGTTAAGGAATTGTCTGACGTTTACACGTGCAACAAATAGCAGTCAACGTGATCAAGTTTAGCTACCTTAACTCGTCCAGATGATCCCAAGAAACAGAAGTGAAAATTCAATAAATAATCTACAGAGAATAAACATTCGTAAACAGAGAATCATAATCAAAAAATATGTTACTAAATTTTATATAGACTATTGCTTACAAAATAAAAGTTATTTTACTTAGTACATGAAACATACAGACAACTGGATTGTGGTTATCAACATTTAAAGGGGCTTATCGCCTTCATCCTCACAGTAGAATACATTACCACAGAAATTACCACAAGCATTAAAATTAAATTCTATATATATGCAGAAATATACTAG